TATTTTTTGGTTTCTCTGTGCACATAAAAGTTATGCTTACAGTATATTGTGGTCTATTAAGTATGGAATAGCATTATGTCTAAAAAACAATGTGTATACCTCAAACAAAAAATACTTTTGGCCTGGTGCGGTGACTCACATCTGTAATTCCAGCACGTTGGGAGTCCAAGGCAGGTGGATCATGAGGTCAAGAGGTAGAGACCATCCTGGCCAACATGGTGAAACACCGTCTCTACTAAAAATACAAAAATTAGCTGGGTGTGGTGACACACACCTGTAATCCTAGCTACTTGGGAGGCTGAAGCATGAGAATTGCTTGAACCTGGGAGACAGAGGTTGCAGTGAGCGGAGATCATGCCACTGCATTCCAGCCTGGGTGATAGAGTGAGACTCTGTCTCAGAAATGAAGATTTTTTTTGTTTGTTTTTTGTTTTTTGGGGCTTTTTTTTTTTTTTTTTTTAACTTTCTCTCTGTGTTGCCAGGCTGGAGTGCAGTGCCATGATCTCCGCTCACTGCAACCTCCGTTTCTCAGGTTCAAGCAATTCTCATGCTTCAGCCTCCCAAGTAGCTAGGATTAGTGAGCGGAGATCATGGCACTGCACTCCAGCCTGGCAACACAGAGAGACTGTCAAAAAAAAAAAAAAAAAGCCCCAAAACAAAAAACAAAAACAAAAAAATCTTCATTTCTGAGACAGAGTCTCACTCTATCACCCAGGCTGGAAATGCAGCAGCGATCTCCTCACTGCAACCTCTTACAGCCCCAGGTTCAAGCAATTCTACTCAGCTCCCAAGTAGCTAGGATTACAGGTGTGTGTCACCACACCCAGCTAATTTTTGTATTTTTAATAGAAATGATTTCACCATGTTGACAGGCTGGTCTCACAATCCTGACCTCAGATGATCTGGGTCACTTTGCCTCCCAAAGTGCTGGGCTTATAGGCATGGGCCACAATGCCTGGCCAAAATATTCTTACTGGGAAAAATTCTAATGATCACCTGAGACTTCAGTGGGTCCTAACTTTTTTGCTGTGGAGAGTCTCCGGCTTTGATGTTACTTCTGGCTGCTGCCTGATCAGGTGAAATACTGCTGAAGGTTGGGGTGGTTGTGGTAATTTTTAAAACGAAGACAAACCTATGATTTGCTTTATTCATAGTATACTTACTACAGTGTTCTGATTTGAAAGGTATGTGTTTATTATTATACATTTGTGGGTACAGCGAATTTGTTAATTATGTAGTTAAATATTTTCTATTCTTACTGGTCTTTTGTCTGCTTTTTCTATCAGTTACTATGAGAGGTGTGTTAAAATCTCTAAAAAGCAGGCACAAGGAAGGAAGAAGGAAGGGAAGAAAAAGAAAAGAAAGAAAGAAAGAGAAAGAAAGAAAGAAAGAAAGAAAGAAAAGAGAAAGAAAAAGAAAAGGAAGGAAGGAAGAAAGAAAGAAAGAAAGAAAAAGAAAGAAGAAAGAAAGAAAGAAAGAAAGAAAGAAAGAAAGAAAGAAAGAAAGAAAGAAAGAAAGGAAAGAAGGAAGGAAGGAAGGAAGAAGGAAGGAAGGAAGGAAGGAAGGAAGGAAGGAAGGAAGGAAGGGAGGGAGACAACCATGAAGTTTGCTGCATCAGTGGACTGTTCCTTTCACAAACATTTTTCTGTAGCATGCTAAGTGCTGTTTGATAGCATTTCATTTCCAATATAGAACTGCTTCGTACCTTATCTAGTCCTCTAGGCTCTGCCAATACTTCTTTTATCAACTAAGTTTATGGAGTATTGTAATTCCTTTGTTATTACTTAAACAATGTTCACAGCATCCTACCAGGAATAGATTCCGTCTCAAGAAACTACTTTCTTTTTTTTTTTTTTTTTTTTTTTTTTGAGACGGAGTCTCGCGACATGGCCCAGGCTGGAGTGCAGTGGCGCATCTCGGCTCACTGCAAGCTCCGCCTCCCGGGTTCACCATTCTCCTGCCTCAGCCTCCCGAGTAGCCGGACTACAGGCGCCTACCACTGCGCCCGGCTAATTTTTCTATTTTTTAGTAGAGACGGGGTTTCACCATGGTCTCGATCTCCTGACCTTGTGATCCGCCCGCCCCGGCCTCCCAAAGTGCTGGGATTACAGGCGTGAGCCACCGCGCCCGGCCGAAACCACTTTCTTTGAGCATTTGTAAGAGGTAACTCCTTATCTGTTCAAGTCTGATCATGAGTTGCAGCAATTCAGTCACATTTTTAAGCTGCATTTCTAGTTCTCTTGCTAGTTCCACCACACCTGCACTTCCTTCCTCTACTGAAGTCTTGAACCCCTCAAAGTCATATATGATGGTTGGAATCAACTTTTTCCAAACTCCTGTGAATAACATGTTGATATTTCAGCCTCCTCCCATGAGTTACAATTTTTTTTTAACACTTTAACTTTTACTTTTTTTTTGTTTTTTTGAGACAGAGTCTTGTTCTATTGCTCAGGCTAGAGTGCAGTGGCACAATCCCAGCTCCTGCAACTTCCACCTCTTGGGCTAAAATGATCCTCCCAACTCAGCCTCTGAGTAGCTGAGACTACCGATGCATGCCACCATGACCAGCTAATTTTTGTATTTTTTGTAGAGATGGGGTTTCACCATTTTGCCCAGGCTGGTCTCAAACTTCTGTGCTCAAGCGATCCATCCACCTTGGCCTCCCAAAGTGCGGGGATTACAGGTGTGAGCTACCATACCCAGCCCACAAATGTTCTTAATGGCTATGACAAATGATGAATCCTTTCCAGGAGATTTTCAATTTACACTGCCAAGATCCATCAGAGGAGTCACTATTTATGGCAGCTACAGCCTTAAGAAATATAGTTCTTAAATAATAAAACTTGAAAGTAAAAATTAACTGTGTGATCCATGGGCTGCAAAATAGATGTTGTATTAGCAGGCATGAAAACAACATTAATCATATACATCTTCATCAGAGCTCTTGGGTGACCAGGTACATTGTCACAATGAGCAGTAGTATTTTGAAACAAATCTTTTTTTTTAAGCAGTAGGTCTCAACATGGGCATAAAATGTTCAGTAAACTATGCTGTAAATAAATGTGCAGTCATCCAAGCTTTGTTGTTTCATTTATAGAGCACAGGCAGAGCAGATTTAGCTATAATTCTTAAGGGCCCTAGGATTTTCAGAATGGTCAGTGAGCATTGGCTTCCACCTAAAGTTAGCTGCATTAACCCCTAACAAGGGAGTCAGCCTGTCCTTTAAAGTTTGAAGCCAGGCATTGATTTCTCTCTAGCTATGAATATCCTAGATGGCATCTTCTTCCAATAGAAGGCTGTTTCACCTACATAGAAAATCTATTGTTGAGTATAGCTACCTTTATCAGCAATCTTAGGTAGATCTTCTGGATAGCTTCCTGCAGCTTCTACATCAGCACTTACTGCTTCACCTTGCACTTTTATGTTTTGGAGGCCACATCTTTCCTTAAATCTCATGAGCCAACCTCTGCTAGCTTCAAACTTTTCTTCTGCAGCTTCCTCACTTCTCTCACCCTTCACAGAATTAAAGAGAGTTAGGGCTTTGCTCTGGAGTAAGCTTTGGTTTAAGGGCATATTGTGGCTAGTATGATTTTCTATTCAGACCACTCAAACTTTCTCTGCATCAGTAATAAGGCTGTTCTGCTTTCCTATCATTTGTATGGTCACAGGAACAACACTTTTAGTTTTCTTTAAGAACTTTTCCTTTGCATTCACAACTTGGCTAATGGTTTGGTGTAGGAGGCCAAGCTTTGGGCCTGTCTTGGCTTTCCACATGCCTTCCTCACTAAGCTTACCATTTCTAGCTTTTCATATAAAATGAGAGACTTGCAACTCTTCTTTTCATTTGAACACTTTCACTTTTCACCCTACACTTAAGAGGCCATTGTAGGGTATAGCTGACCTAATTTCAACATTGTTGTGTCTCAGGGAATAGGGAGGCCAGAGGAGACAGGAAGTGATGGGGACTGCCAATTTGTAGAGCAGTCAGAACACACACATTTATCGACTGTGTTTGCTGACTTATATGAATATGGTTCACGGAGCCCTCAAACAATTACAACAGTAACACCACAGATTACTGATCGCAGATCACCATAACAGATAAATGGCACCAACAGACGTACTCAACGCAGAGTTGCCACGCACTTTCCATAGTAAACAGCACAATATCTCTGAAGCACAATAAAATGAAGTGTGGCTGTAGAATGCTGGAGCCAGGAAGTAATTCCAGACTGCGTGCCTAGACTGTGTATGTCTTCTATATTATACTGATAGTGCCAAGAAGGAACAAAGCGGGTATGTGTCAACATTGAACATATTAAGGACCAGCAAATAGCACACTTCCACAGGCCTTCCTACTGTGCTGAGCTACTAATAGGTACTCAATAGATATTTATCGGTTAAGTTTAAAATTTTTTTTCCTGTTGCGAAATGGTGGGCAGAACGCTGAGCTGAGTATCAGACCCAGATGCTAACAAGGGCTCCTCTATTAATCAACTATGTGGCTTTGGATAAGTTACTTATCTGAGGCTCATTAAAAAAATTAGAATAATAATAACTGCTAGGCCTACTTCCTAATATTGGGATTATGTATGTAATTCTTCAGAAAATTTCTTAAAAAACAAATGAAAAGCTTTACAGACTCAAATTCTAAGTTCAAAGAGGCCCACTAGACAGGGTACCACACTTCTGAAAAAAACAGCTCAACCTCTTAATCACAGACTGTAAACCTAATTCCATATCCAAGTAAAAGTCTGGCTAATAACTCAGGAATCTTTAATTTGGTCTTACTTCCCTGAACTTATTTTCCTGACTTTTTCATCTGACTCCATCATCCCTCCACCCAAACTAATCAGTTTCCCTTCCAAAGTCATTTTCAGGAGCTGAAGTGAAAAAGTGTGCCTCCCAGAGGTTAGACTCTCAGGGGCATTCTGTTCAAAGAACATAGGAAGAAACACTTTGTCCTTTTACTGTTACCTCAGGCCTCACAGGTCTTTTCAAAGCCAGAAGCTAAAGTGGCTTAAGAGAAAGCTAGAAGTATCAGGGTAGTAGTATTCCCACTTCAGGGTGAGGTTGTCAGGATGTACCTGTTTTATGATTCTAATTCGTTTGATTGGCAGTCCTTGAACTAAATTAAAAACAAATAAAAGTTCATATGATTTAAACTCATGATACTTCTTTGTGAAAAGGGAAAACGGGACATGTCGTTAGTCCCAGCATATTTTTTGTGATGGGGCTTTTACTATGTTGCCCAGGCTGGCCTCAAACTCCTAGATTCAAACTATCCTTCCCTGTAGGCGGAATTACATGTGCATGCTACCATGCTTGGCTGTGGGCTGGTTTTTAATCGTTGGACGGTCTGGGTGCCCCTTTCACTTTATTCTGTTTTTCCTCTCTCACTTTTTTTCTCTCTCACTTATTAAGTCTTTGTCCTCTTTAAGTCCTCTTCCAAAAGACTGAAATTGCAGGTTACATTTATACCTAAAAGATCTTCCTGCCTAGGCAAAGAGAAAATAATACTAAATTCCATAGAAAGCAGGTAATTTGTCCACAGGACACAGAGCTGATCACTGTGGAAAATCCCTGCAATCACACCTTCCATTCTCTCTCCCTCTTTCTCTCCTTTGCCCTTGCTCTCTCTCCATGTGACGTGCCTGCTCCCCCTTCACCCTCCACCATGATTGTAAGATTCCTGAGGCCTCCCTAGAAGCTGAGCAGATGCCAGCACCATGTTTCCTGTAAAGACTGAAGAACTGTGAGTCAACTATACTTCTTTCCTTTATAAATTACCCGGTCTCAGGTATTTCTTCATAGCAATGCAAGAACAATACCTTATTCTTTTCCCATTCATCCAAACAACTGGAAATTAAGCTTCCTGAGGCCAGAGGTCTTGCCGCGTTTAGGACATAGTGAGCGCTCAACAGGCACATGTTAAATGAAAGAACCAATACTTTACTGTGCGCTGCTGTGTGCCCGGTATCGCTCTAGGAGCTGAGTAGAGAGGTAACCACTACACTGCCCTTCCTTTGGAGAGAGACACTGGAGAACTAAAACCGACCCCAGCGCTAAGCGATTTGCCTAATAGAGGGAACGCCGGCTGAGACCAGCGCAAGGCGGGCGCTGGGTGGCGTGCGCGACTGCAAAGTCTGGCGTGCCCAGGTTCTGCTCCTTGGGCTCCTGCTGCGTGAGCCGCTCTGCAGATCCAGCAAAAGACCCGAGAGCGACCAGATGATTCAACGCCAGATGATTCCTCCCTGTGGATGTGCCCCGGGCGTTCTGCCCTGGCTCCCAGCCGCCTCCCGGTGCTCCCGGGTTAGGCCTCACACACCTGTCGACCGCGTCGGCCCAGCTGCGGCCCAGGCCTGTGGGAGAGAGACGGCCCCGGCCCCAGGCTGGGAACCAGAAATGCAGCAGGGCCTCAAAAAGAAACAAAATTCTTTCCCTCGGGGTTGCTGCTGCTGCACAACCTCGCCCAGCCCGCTCTGCGGATCGAGTGTAGATTCGGGTTGGAAGCCGGAAGTAGTGCATAGAGGGCAGCTTCAAAAGCCGAGGCTGCGCTGCTCGGCGCAGGGCGTCTTCCCTCGCGTGCCCGTGCCGGGTGCCGAAGGAACCTCCGCAAGCTGCTTTCATCTCGGTGGGCCGGGGCAGGGTCGAATCGCAGCTGTGGGGGCTTCTCTCCAAGCTTCGATTTGAGCTGGATGGAGACAGAAGAGCCTGAGGTGCCCAGAGGCCAGTCTTACAGAGTGGGGGGCGGGTGGGGTGGGATCAGAAAAAGCTTGAAATTCCTCCCGTACCTTAAACCTAAACAGCTGCGAGAGCCCCAGAGGAGGAAGCTCAGCTGCGGCGGAGAAGCTGGAGGAGGGCTGGGGCGGGGAGGAGTAGCCCCAGCAGCAACAGCAGCCAGCCCTGGGGTGTCCTCTCCCAGTGGTGTCCAGGGCCAGTCTTTGCCAGCCTGCCCGTCCTCGGACGCCTCGGGAACGTACACACACCCTTTTGCTTAAGCAAGGCGCTCTGAAGCCGAATTACGTCTGCCTGGCATCCCCAAACACGAACGGCCCTGCCATGGCTGTGGGCAAATTCAGGGGTTGGGGGTATGAGGGGGGGACTAGGAGAGAAAGAGTTAATCTCCCAAGAGGAATATACATCAGTACTCTCCTGTCACTTGCGTTTTATTTAATGGTAATGCTAGACTTCACCAGATATTTCAACTGACCAATTTCAACATTTTCACCTACAGAATTTTCTGGAAGGAAAATAAAACCTTCCTAACAAACATGTTTTCCTGTTTCTGCTTGATAATATTGTCCACTATGGACACAGGAAACCAGTCAACCGTTTATAATCACAGTCATCATTTTGTGGTGCTTTTTCTCAGGGTATGAATACTTATATTGACTGCAGGTTTAGTTGAGCTATAATTGTAACTCTTTGACTAAATAGAATTGATTTTACATAATTAAACCTTTTTAAACAAAAGTAATTGGGCACGATGGCACTCGCAGCTGTCGGGAGGCTGAGGCAGGAGGATCACTTGAGCCAAGGGGTTTGACTCTCGCCTGGGCAACACAGGGAGATCCTGTCTTTAAAAAAAAAAAAAAAAAGGTAAACAGTAAGCATGAGAAAAAGAATCTTTCAGTCTTCCTAGTCTTCCGCAAGGAAGTGACTGACGTCCCTCAAACCATCGACTTTGGTACATTTTCTCCAGAGGATCAAAACCTAGGCCTGACTCTGGCATGGAGCCTGGAACAATGAAAATAAATTAGACATTCTTTTCCTATGTATGACTGTGCCTTTCTTTGTCGTGGTCACCAGGTTCTCCAGACCTTTTGAAAACTACGTAACAGTTACCTTGCAGTGCTCCTGAAAACACGGGGGAAGTTCATATTTGAGAGGCCTGGGAGGGACCAGGATGATCCTAGTCAAGCACGAGCAGAGCTGCCGTACAGTAAGTGCTCATTGCGTGTTCATGGAAAGCATGAATGATGCTCACACCAAGAGATCTGCTACCAAACTCTTACAGACGAATGTGAGCGCCAGGATCTCTTTTATTATTATTGATGTAATTATCATCAGTAAAAAAGCATTTAATGAAATTATTTTAAAAGGCTTCTTGCCTAGGGAGCCCAAGATTGGTATAGTCACAGCGGGCACCTGCCTTCCTTCCCCTCCTCGCCTTCCTCCCGCTGTGCGAGCTTCGGAACCCAAAGACCAGCTCACTGCGCATTGCCCCCGGCAAGTTAGCGGCGCTCCCCGAGGGGTGTGAGGCCGATCGGAGGCACCAGGTAGGGTGTGGGGCGCGAGCACGGGGCGGTGGTGCCCAGCGGGGGCGGGGTGCCCACGGACGCAGCCGCCTAGCTCCGCCGGCTGTTGCGAGGTAGCTGCTGGCGCCCGCCAGGAGGCGCGTGGCCACTAGCACTTCAGCGCGCGGTTCTCTCTCCTCAGACTGCTTTCTAGGATTTGATATCCCAGGGCCACAGCGACAGAAGCCGATCTCTAAGAAGGCATAAGCTCGGCCTGAGACGTGGTGGGGAGACAGTGCAGGGAAGAGGTGAAATTCCAGCGCAGAATGGGGGCTCCGCGGGGCCCCGGGATTGAGGAGACAGGAGCGAGGCTTCCCTTTCCGTCCTCGCAGGAAAACAGCCTGACCTGCTGGCATGTCCACCCCCAAGAGGAGAGGGACCCCGGCGCGGCGTCCTTACCATCCCCATCCCCCACTCCCCCCTCCCCCCGCCAGCAAGCCAGGGCTCTTTTCTTTCCCTCTCCCCCACAGGGGGAGAGGCCGGGCCTCGAGCTTTTCTGCACGTGAGCTCGGTGGTCCAGCAGAGTCTTCTGGCTCCCGGGAAAGCAGCGTGGCGCCGCCCCAGCACCCAGTCCCCAGATTAGGGATTGGGACGTCAGTCATTGCCTCCAGGATACTGACCTGGGATGGGGCCGCAGGTATCCCAAGCGCTCCTCTGTCCGTGCTTCCTCAGCGTCTGCGTTTCCACAGATGCCCGAGGTCAGACAGTTTCGCAAGGGGGCTGAAGAACCAAATGGGGAAACTGATGGAGTCTCACAAGTTTATTCCTTTCCCACGTCTGTGTTTGTCTAAGGGTGCTTTCTGTGCAGCTTTCTGAACTTGAGCATCACTTTGATGGAATGAAGTACAATCTTATGCCCTGAGCAATAATTTCTTGTCAGCGATGACCCATTTAATCACTGGAAAATCTAATTGCATTGCTCCAGAGAGAGAGGTCTTTTTGAGATTCCAGCATTCATTGTAACATTTCTTGTATGAAGAATGTTGAATTGATTGTTCGCATTTACTTTCGGAAAAGGAGATAGAGTTGTAATGTCCTTACAAGTTTCTAACCAGTTTTAAAAAGACCAAACAATACTGAAAGGTAAATTAATTGCAAGCATAGGAGGCAAAACATTAATTAGAAAAATTAATCAAAACACCCTCTCATTTCAATTCCCAATGTGCAAGAGAAAGAAGCAAAGCAAAATACCCACATCTCACATTTAGGTTACAGAAACTATTGCCTAATTGTTCAACTAAACACCTAACATTTCTTTACTCTTAGATGTGGATGTTGGTTTCTGTCCTCAGGTTTGTTTCCTCACAACTGATTGCTGCTTTTCTAAGAATGTCATTCTCACAAAACATGAAAAGACAGAAATAATGGAGACCATTTTCTTTTAGACACCCCTTTTAAGATGAAAGAAAACGGTTCCCATGTACCTCCAAAACACTTGCTCTCACATGTTCCCTCCCCCCCAAGAATTGTTTCACATTCCTGTTCCTAAACCAGTCAAAAATGAGGGTAAAGGAACTACCATGATTGACTTAAGTTAATCAAGATTCACCTCTTGGAGTTTGGAGGGACTTTGCACTCCCTAAAGCACTTGACCACTTTATACACAAACTCAGGGTTCTGCTAGCAAAAAACGTATGGGGATGATGGTTGTTGGGTTGATATCTTAATATCTTCCATACTTGTGATCAGTCACAATCCCTAGTTTGTTGGTTATCTCTTGTCTAAATAGTTTACCTTCTCACATTTCTAGACCGCTGATCATAATGAATCAAGGCAGTCTCCCCCACATTTATCTCTGTTCTGTTTAATTATATTCATTCAGAGGAGGTGTATCTATCTATTATCTGTCACTGAATAACTAATTGGTTATTAAAACTTAGTGACATAAAACAACACTTTATTTGTTCACCATTCTGCAATTTATGTTGGGCTTACCTGGATGGATCTTTCTCTAGTCTCACCTAGGCTCACTAAAGTGGCTATAATCATTTGATGGGGAGCTGAGGGCTGGACCTCTTGCTCTGAGTGGTCTTTTAAGAAGATTAGATCAGGCTTCTTCATATGGCAATCAATAGTATATTAAAAGGGGATGATGCAAATGTGCAAGTACTGAAACTTCTGTTTGTGTCACATTTGCTGATGTCCCATTGACCAGAGAAAGTCTTATGGCAAAGCCTAGGATCATTGTGAAAGGAAATTATACAGGAGCATGAATACCAGGAGGTTTGATTCACTGGGGATGATTATGTAACAGTTTACTACAGGAAATTAACCCCTGAAGACAGAAAAAACAGTCACTGGAAAAATTACGTGGAAATCAAAGGAGTCATTCTTATTGGCAATATTACACAACTTCTCTAAGCTGTGACTGAGTGAAATGTAAAAATGAGAGAATGAGAGTATCAATTCTACAGAATAAAACTTTTGTTATGCATGATTTGTTATATATTTTAAAAATTAAAAATAAGTAATTAAAAACTGAATTCATATATGCTATGAGGGCAACAGAATTAGATAAAGGATAAAGATGAAGCATCTTTCTAGATATTTTTCATATTCAGATGCAACCAAGTCCTGTCCTGACTTATTCTCTGTCAATTGGTTTTATTTTACCCAACATCATTGGGTTATAAAAAACAAAGTTAAGTTGTTGTTAAAACAAGAACCAGAAAATTGCCTTCAACTTGTCAACTTCATTAATTACTCGGCAACATATTCTAAAAATCATTTCCTTTCCTTTCTGGTCTAATGATGAAAGAATAAGTAGCTTCTGGTTGCTGCTCTGTGTCAAGTTCCTCTTTTGGAGGCAAGTAGGCACTGAAATGTCTGTCATGTTATCACAGAAGAGAAAGACTTTTGCTGAATTATATTTTTTCTTATAAAGTATTTAATCCAGATGCTGTCCTGCAGAATCCACCCCTCCCCATATTTTCAGTTATACTAATCAGCAAATCATTCCATCTTTATCTGTTGCTCAAGTATAGAAACTTCTTTCTGATAGCTTCTCACTTCTTCCTTTTACTTTTTTTCTGTCCTACCCCTTTATCATTTATTTTTCTCTACTGAATTCTCTTATTATTTCTTTATATCAAATCATCTCAGCCCTCACATGACTCAAGATGAATCAGCTTAAATTTTTTTAAAGTCCTCTGCATCACCATCAGTGATAAAATGAAGAACCATATAATGATAGCCTTTGGTTTGACCTTGGAAACATGTGTGGGTATCTCTTTCATGTTTAGTGACATGAACCTACTTCTTCTCCCTGCACTTGAAATATTTTTGCATTTGTTACTTTTCCCTTAGAAGACTAAAATACATCACACAGCTGGTTTAAGATTAGGAATGAATAAATTTATCAATTCTGAAGAAGATAGATGCTATATGAATAGTTTAATATCCTTCATTAAACATCTACTAAAATATAATTAAATGTTGGGGTTGACAATATACAGAATTCAGACCACAGACCATGCTATTGGTTTGACTGTGTTCCCCAAACTTCATGGGTTGGAAAGTTAACCCCCAATACAATAGTCCTGGGAGATGGGGCCTGATAAGAGGTGATTAGGTCACAAGGGCTCTGTTCTCATAAATGGATTAACGTTGTTATCATTATCCTGAGAGTGGCTTAGTTATTGGGGGAAAGGTCTTGTTATAAAAGTGAGTTCTGCCCCCTCTGTCTCTCTTGCTCTCTTGAGAGCACTTTCTTGTCCTTCCACTTTCCTAACAACTAGAAGGTCCTTGCCAGATGCCAGTGCCATGCTCTTGGACTTTCCAACCTCCAGAACGGTAAGAAATAAATTTATTTTCTTTGTAAATTACTCAGTCTGTGGTATTCTGTTATAGCAACACAAAATGAATCAAGACAGACTACAAATTCATAAATGCACAGCAATGATGTCCTGGATTCAAAGGACGTCTTATTTTTAAACACTAAATAGCAATTTTTGGAAGAATGTTCCTATGTTAATGACTTAAACATTTTTTA